AAGTGTCTTGACATCTTGATGTTTTCTTAAGTATAACAGTAACAGCCTTTGCTTTATTCATTTGTCAACAGCAATACACCATCATTTCACACCCCACCATAGAGAATGAGACGCTCTTGATTCCACCTGGCTTCACTCCCTTCCAGGATCCTTTCTTCATCGTTGAAACCATTTGCATCTGCTGGTTCTGTTTTGAACTTTTCGTACGTCTAATCTGCGCCCCGAGTAAGATACACTTCTTCAAAGACGTCATGAACATCATCGACTTTTTTGCCATCCTTCCCTATTTCATTACACTTGGGACAGAGCTAGCTAAGGACAAAGACAAAAGCACACAGCCCTCTGTGTCTCTGGCCCTCATCAGGGTTATCAGGTTGGTGAGGGTCTTTAGGATCTTTAAGCTCTCTCGTCACTCCAAAGGTTTGCAGATCCTGGGCCAGACCTTAAAGGCAAGCCTCAGGGAGCTTGCTTTGCTCATCTTCTTCCTCTTCATCGGCGTAATACTTTTTTCCAGTGCTGTATACTTTGCCGAGGTGGACAGACCTAACACATCATTCACCAGCATCCCTGAGGCCTTCTGGTGGGCTGTGGTATCTATGACCACGGTTGGTTACGGAGATATGTACCCAGAGACAGTTGGTGGGAAATTGGTGGGTTCCATGTGTGCCATAGCGGGCGTGCTAACTATCTCCTTGCCCGTGCCAGTCATAGTGTCCAACTTTAGCTACTTCTATCACAGAGGGATGGAGTGTGAAGATACCACACAGTATCATCACGTCACTACGTTGCTGTGGGAAAAAGACAAAGATGCTAATAGTGAGGAGGAGAATGAAGATGGACTGGATGTATGGGGGCCGGAGTGCATGGATGAGTGTGTACCCCTGTACAGTCAGAACAGCAAAGGTATACAACCTCCGCTGAATGGCTCTCTGACAATGACGGGACATTGTACTGGACAGGTGACTGGTGATGTAATGGGATTTACCTTCTACCTCAAAGAACCTCTGGTCACTCAAGTTTGACAGACTGTGAAAAGACAGAGTATGCTGATCGACATGGAAGTTGTTTGTGCGTAGAAAAAAGTAAACTCCAAAATGGATGCGTTCTGAGTATGGAGTCACGCAGAAAAAAAACAAAACCTTTCCAAAAAGACGTGGACTGAAGAACGCTACAACTGAGTCAAAGGTGCCTGATGGGCAATGTAACTTGTTAGTCCATAGGACGACTGCACTAATGATTTTATCATTTATTTTTTGGCACCTTTTTCATTGGTCAATTAGCCTTTTGGTAAATAAAACAAATAACAAGAAATGTTTAGTGGTGTTTTCTTTAATGTGTATGTTTGTTGTATTTTTATGATTTAAATGTTGTGTATAAAAACATTTATTGACCCATGTTCAAATGAATAATCTGGTCAAACATGTAAAGTCCTAGCTTAGACCAATTTTGATGTAGGGCCCTTGCATTACTTTTATTCTCATAGTCCAAATGTTCCTAAAACTCCCATTTCAGCTGTCAAGGTTGTGTCTCCAACGTTTATAGTGATATTTGCAAATGAAAAATGCTTTTAACCCTTTGATGCATGACCCATG